AAGAAATAAACGCACGCTTTTCTTCCTTCTTCAATGTCCATGACGCAACCAGAAGTTCGAACTGGCCATTCTCTAGCTCCATGGGATGCAGGTCCTTCCTAATTCCTAAGTGTTGCATGTCCAGGCGTGTGGTTAGTGAATCCTTCGATGTCCCCCCGGTGTCCATCAAGGTGTTAAGAGTGTTAGCGCACATGTTTTTAGTGATGTGCATGGGATCAAGACAGTGGCGTACACTCAGAAATGGCCAGTAAGGTAGTTTCCAGAAAATTGATTTTTTCTTTCAAACGTTCCCATCAGGCGCTACTACTGCATTGTCCCCCTTCCTAAGGACAACCTCTAGTTTGTTGAGTTCTCGAAGTATCGCAGGCCCGTCTCGATATTTTGGAGCTAAGCGTTTCTCAATAGTACCGTTGAAATCTTTTTAGTTCCTGCGGTAAGGGTGATCCTTAGGTAGGAACCTACAGTGTCCCATATAAACTATCTTTGAGTTATTTGGCAGATTTACCGTATCGGTGTCGTCCAAGCACTCGACACATCCAGTATAGCCTTTTGTCTTCTCTCCAGACAACGACTTGACCTGGCAGGTCGGTGATTGTAGCGATAAGTACTCTCTTGATCCTGACATGTTCCTTTTTGTACTCGTCCCAAACATCCGGCACACCCTTTTCAAACATCTCCACTAGTTCATCGATCACTGGTTCCAGAAACACATCGATGTCATTCCTAGGTTGTCTTGGCCCTTGGATCAGTAGTGGCATCTGGATGTACGACCGCTTCATATAGACCCAAGGTGGAAGGTTGTATATACATAGTGTCACTGGCCAGGTGCTATGATTGCTTCTAACCTGGTCAAAAGGATTCATCCCATCTGTGCTCAAAACAAACCAAAGGTGCCTTACCTCTCCACCGATGTCCTTATAGAACATAGTATTGACAGTCCTCTAGTCATGCCCATCGGCGGGGTGCCTCATCATTGTATCTTTCTTACGCTCTTTGCCATGTCAGCGCAACAGCTTGGCTGACTTTGCACATGCAAACAGCCTATGCACCCAGAGAGCTATAGGGAAATACCAAACGACCTTTATGGGACCTCGTCTGGTCTTGGTACCCTCATTTGACAGCCCTTCCTTCTACCGTGGAGCTTCACACTTGGGGCACTTGTCCAAATCTTTGTATTTTTCTCCACGGTACAATATGCAATCATTGGAACACGCGTGGATTTTTTTCAACCTCGAGTCCGATGGGGCAGATCATTTGCTTGGCCAAGTCTGTCTTTTCTGGCAACTCGTTTTTTCTGCGAGCATTTTCGTTATTATACCTAACAACTGATCGAAGCCTTTATCGCTTAATCCGTTTGTCGATTTGAACTCTAATAGCATGATGTCGGCTTCCAGTTTGCTCATTGGACAATCCCTATATAATGGTGTTTTACCATCTTGTCTCATTTTCTCTAGCTTTCTCAGCTATCTTTCACTAAGACATCCGGTCTCTACATTACGTAGCAGCTAAGAAATGTCATCATTATCCTCGGTGTCGTCAGCTAGCATGTTTCTAAACACATTATTAACTGTGGCATAGGTTCCGTGTTGACACCGGGTTCCTCGTCAGCATCGTGGATGGCTACGTCAGGCATGTCCACATCACCATCGTTTTCCTGCAGAACATTCACACCAACCTTGCCATGCATAGTCCATATCGTATAGTTTGTCATGAACCCCCTGGTAATCAAGTGCGATCGTATAGACTCAATTTGATGAAAGTTCCTTTGATTCTTGTAATCTTTGCATGGGCAGAAGACAAGGTTCCCATTCCCAGCATAGCTTTGGCATCGGTGATAAACTGGCTGACGCCATGCAAGTACCGCTTGTCCGTTCGGGACAGATGTATCCACTCTCAATCCATCTCTGCACAAAAAAATACTGAGACAGTAATTACAAAGAATTAATAAGAAATCTATCTTCATGAACAACAATTGTAGCTCAAAAATACCATTTTTGGAAAATATTATTGTAAACTGATTATTGAAAATTTGAAATTGGTAGCCCCGGCTCTGTAAATTGAAAATCGTAGTAAAAAACAATTATTGTACAATAATGAAGAACATCTATTCTACTCTACTTCTAAGAACTAATTATAGCATCACATACTAACAATGATGATCTTGACCACCATGGAATAATTAGCTAGGAATTTAAATGTGTTCATAGACACCAACCTTTTGGAGGATAGATTCACCATAATTTGAGCCTTGCACAAATGTCCAATTGAAAAAGTGCTCTCTATAATAGAGAAAGAACTAGAATGAGAATCAAGCAATATAACCATCAAAATGAATCTAATTAGGCAACAAAATCAAAGGAGTGGATGTTTGTTACTAACCTTAAAGCAAAAAGATCAAGCCATTCTTCAAAATCCAAGCGCTAGCTTCATGGTGAAGAGCAGCCGCAACAATAGAGGGAAGGGCCCAAACGCGCGCCTCTGTTCTCGGGATGGAAGAGAGGAGGAAGGAGAGGACGGCTGCAGCCTTTTTGTGTTGTAGGCTTATCACCATCGGTTCTTGGCTAGAACCGACAGTGAAGAGCCCAATCACTGTCGGTTCTTGGCATAAACCGGCAGTGATGAGTGGCCGCAAAACACTGCCGGTTCAAGCCACAAACCGACAGTGATGTGATCCTTCACTGTCGGTTTTAGCCCAGCCCAATCATTTTTTTATTTTCAAGCTCATAACCGACAGTTAAGGTACATCACTGCCGGTTGTCATAAATTCGGCAGTAATGAGGCCGGCAGTGATGTCTAAATCTGGCGTAGTGTGGGCTAGAATCTAAAATGCGTGGGTCCAGATTAAAAATGATAGTCAATTTTAGGTACTGAAGCAGTGCTCATTTGTTACAAGCTCAAAGCTCCGCTATTTTCATATGATTGGTAATATGTGCTCTACTTGGGTGGGTAATAAGATCCTCACACAACCAAGTTAGTTTAACACGCGATCTAATATAATAGAGGCAACCAAATACGAGTCTGTTGCATAACCTTGTGCAGTCATTCTTTTAAAAAAAAAAACTTGTGCAGTCCCAAATGCTCAACCCGCATGTGCAACCAAACATTGACGCGATGCAAATGGGGCTATATATGCAAGCCAAACGATCACTACCACATATATTGTATAATTTTATTTTGCCCTAAATAAGTTTAATACATAATTGAGGTGCTGAAAGTAATAACCAATAATAACAGTTTTTTCAGACTTGGAGGATTCGTCTTTCCAGATGTCGTCGTCCTTCCCTCTCGACGAGAGCGAGATATGTGGCTCCCAGGCGGCGCAGTTTACTCGTGCTCAAGAATAATTTGGAAATGCTCTAGGACAGCATTGACGGCAGCATCGTGTTGGCGGCACCGGCACAGCTCGGCGCCTTGTTCCATCCCCGTTTGTCTTCCCTTCGGGAGACCGCAGCCGTAGCAGAAGACGAATTTGCACCTTCGGGCACCATCAGATAAACATTAGTAGTGCAAGGGGTTATACTGATCTTTAAGACCCATACATTGAAATCAAGATAAAAATATTAAAATGTATAGTAGAAAACATGATAATATATATATGAATAAAAACAACTAGCTTTCAAATCAAAATTCATGATTTTAGATAAGAGAAACTAAACATAATCATAGATGAGAACAAATAGGTATCAGATTGGAGATGATGAAGATGATTCAAGCCCGTGCATGGTCAATGGTGGGAGTGTACAATCACACATCCCATCCCATGACTTCCGATTGATATGGTGCACAACGTCGTCAGTTAGGTGTGATGACCGATGATGCGAATATCATTGAAGAAACAAAAAAAATCTAATACCTTGTCAAACAAAGTGATCGGTTTTCTTATATAATAAGTAACAAAGATCAATGAATTCTAAAATAATGATGATTTGCCCTGTTTGGATTATTCACCGGGAAAACGAGCTTACTGTTTTAAAATTTTTAAGACAGATTAAGAGAGACGTGAAATACCCGTGGATGACTTATTATTCAGAGCTTGTTTCAGTTTCAAGGACCCCGGAAGCTATAGTTTGGACGGGAGGGGATTATTTAATTCAAGTTTGGGAAATTTAAATGCTACTCTCTACGTTCTAAATTATAAGTTGATTTGACTTTTTTTTGATACATCAATTTTGCTATGTATCTAAATATAATGTATGTTTAAATACATAGCAAATCTATATACAAAAAAAATCAAATCGACAAAATTTGGAATGGAGGGAGTAGAATATAAGCTTTTTTGGGATGTCACTCTTCATTTTTTTTTATATGTTGTATTAGGCTTGTCTTAAGCTAAATATTACTAACTTTGACCATCAATTTCAAAAAAAAACCATGTAGTTTCACACATGTGAATTATATTATGAAAGTATTCTCACAGAAGATCTAAACATAAATCTTAAATCTTATGTTATTAAGTTATGCAATTTAAAAAAATGATAGTAAAAGATAGAAAATTTTAACTTAGGTACGAGTTTCATTGAAACAAGCACTAACAATAATGGTACGAGTAGTTACCAAATCAAGTGCTAAACTGTAAACGCAAAGTGTTCATGATGCAACAATTAATTTGAGTATAAACAAAAATAACAATAGTTAACTTGAGGCAAATAAATAGGACAAGATTGAGTATATATATAGTACCTGCAGTGCATGAAATCGCACCCATCGACCTTTTCAACAAGAGACTTGCATCTTGGGCACTGCTTCCACCGACGCTCCTCGGCGAGCTTCTGCAGAAGCGCGGCATTCGGGCCTTCATTGCAGTCGTGCTGGCTGCTGCCATCAGCATCGTCATGGCTCCAGCCGAAGCCGCACGTGGCACACATTGGGTGGCTGCACACCGGGCAAAACGCCTTGGCCGGCGTCTTGCCGCCTGTGGCCTCGAGCAGCACCCCGCACTGGCGGTTGGGGCAGTAGGCGTGCAGGTTGGGCGGGATGGCGCGCTCCGTGAGGCGGTCGCCCTAGCTGCTGAACGCGGCGAAGTCGATGGACTTCTTGCACACGTCGGGGTGCAGGACGGCGATGTCCTCCCCATACGCCTCCTGGCAGGCCGGGTCCGGGCACGGGATGGGCACCTCGCCGGCGTTGATCCTCCCCTCGATGTACGTGGCCATGCACTCCACGCAGAACCTGTGCTGGCACTGCATGCCGTGGAAGAGGTCCAGGATGGGGAGGGTCTCCATGCAGATGCCGCAGTCAAACTTGGGCAGTTCGTCGTCGGCGAGAGGGAGCACCCTCGGCCGCGTCGTCGTCGATGGGCCTGCCTCGTCGAGATCGAGATCAGAAGGGTGGACGACGCGCAATCTCTTGGGGGGACTGTAGCCGGGTTCCTCCCTGGGCTCCTCGTCGAATCTTGGAAATTGTTGCTGGAAGAAAGGTACTTCATCATGGAGTCCCGGCTCATCCATCGCCTGAGCTTCGCGGAGGAGGGAGTCGTACCAGCTGTTGCCATGCTCTTCTTCATCTACGCCAGCGAGGATGACCGGGGAGTGATGAACGGCGTCGGCAAGCATGGCCTGTCTTGCTGAGATGATATCTTCTTTGCCGGGAAAGGTCCGCGATGTCGCCTGTGCGCCGGCCCGTGTTTCCAAAGGGAGGGTTATCGCTTCACCGCCACCAACGGGCTGCGGCCTACGGCGTCTTAAACCCTCGGCGGATGCTCCTCTTGAGGTGTATGTAAAGGACACTACGTGACCTGTACCTCTTTCTTGCGGCTGCGGGACCGAGGGTCGGTCGGCGCCTCCTGCCGGGCTGGCATGCTGGTTGTTGGTGGCTTTGGCCGGGGCGGCTTGCTGATTGTTGGCAGCAACGGCCCGGGCGCCGGCAACGTCGTCGTCGAAGACGGGCGGCCCTGCTGGGAAGAAGTGATGAGTGACGGCCTGTGATCCCGCGGGCGCGGCGTGGACGGCCGCCGGTCCTTCAGCGTGAAGCTATGTGCATTCCTCAATGCAATTTCTCAGAAGGCAATCGATCCAACGGATCTAGCGAACCTACAGAATGATGTGGTTCAATGTCTTGTCAGCTTTGAGTTGGTGTTCCCTCCTTCCTTCTTTGATATCATTACACACCTCCTAGTTCACTCCATGGTTACGGCGTGATCATAACCAAAGGACATACGTCAGAAAGAAGTTTACTACTGTGCCCGCTTGATATATATATTGATGTTCAATAGTGTGTATTAGAGATATTATGTAATAATTGTGAATTTATGTTTGATGTTGAATTATGTCACGTTAAAATGATGTGAAAACAAATTTATGTTTGATGTTGGGATTATGTCACGTTGAAATGATGTGAAAACAAATTTATGTTTGATGGTGGAATTATGTCACGTTCAAATGATGTGAAAACAAATTTCCAGTCGAAACACAAGAGTTTTTCTGAATTTAATTAAACACTATATTTTTGCATTATCGAAATAGTAATTTAAACACTATATTGTGTTTTAAAACTTGTTAAAAAATTAAAACTTTAGGTCACATAATTTTCCTATGTGCAATAAAGCAAAATAGAATCTATATTTTTTTTAAATATTTTTATATCTTTTATTTAATTTTCTGTACAATTAACTATCCTTTTATCATTTGTGTAAAAAGAAATATATTAAAATCCTAATGAATTGGTGGGCAGCGAAACTGCAGTTTGGCTACCCGCCAAAAAACTTTAGTCCCGGGCGCAACCACCAGCCGGGACTCAAGGTGCGACCTTTAGTCCCAGACGTTAACAGGGCCCGGGACTAAAGGGCCTTTAGTCCCGGCTGGTGGTGACGCCCGTGACTAAAGGTCCTCTCCCTTATATAGCCTCTACGGCCGCCCCGGCCCCTCTTCTTCCTCCTCCCCACTGCCGAGCCAAGCCCTAACAGACCCGCCGCCGCTCGTCCGATCCGCCGCCGCTCGTCCGATCCGCCGCCGATGCCGCACCTCGCGAGCGCCCGCACGCACACCGGTGCCCCACCGCCCCGACGTCACACGCCCTGACTAAGCACGCTCGCCAACGTGCCGCCCCCCGACCACCCCGGCCCGGCGCCCCGACGCCCCACCGCCCCGACGCTTGGCCTCGACGCCACACTACGGCCCGGCCCGACGCCACGCCGCCCCTGACGCCCGACGCCACGCCGCCCCTGGCGCCCGATGCCACGCCGCCACTAACGCCGCGTGCGTGGCCCTGATGACTCCACCCCGGCCCGGCCGGCCATGACGCTCGCGCCGCCACCGACGCCACCCGGCCCAGCCACCGACACCGCCCTCGTCATCACCGCCTCCGGACGCCCATCACCGCCGACCCCTACGTACGTCGATATGTGTTTGTATGTGATATATATAGAGGAACGCCTCGTTGTGTTGTATGCGGAGCAACGCCGTCGTTGTGTTGTATGCGGAGCAACGCCGCCTCGTTGTGTTGTATGCGGAGCAACGCCGCCCCGTTGTTGTATATGCGGAGCAACGCCGCCCCGTTGTTGTATATGCTAAACGGGTGGTACATGTCGGCGTCTGATGCGGGACAAATCTATCTTTCTGTCAGAATTAGAAACCACCATTACTTCCGTGGCAATGACATTATCTATGTCGAGCTTCCAGAATTACACCAACTATGTCACCTAGACTCTCTCGACAAAAGTCTCGTTAGCTGCTATTGTTTGTAAGTGTGATTATTTTCTACTATATTCACAATTTCTTTATTATATATTCACAATATATATATTCACAATTTTCATGTATGCAGATATGAGATGACAGAACTTAGAAAGAGAAAGGATAATGATGTTGGATTCATTAATCCGTATGTCGTATACAAACACCCTAACCCCCCGAAGGATTATAAGCCTCAAGCTGAGAGAAATCTCATGAATTTCTTAGTGGACCAACGTGACAAGAAGGAGATACTCTTCTCCTACAACTGCAAGTGAGTGTTATTATAAGTAATTAATATCGATCATATATATGGCACATCAATATTTCCTTACTAGCTAGTTACCTCACACACACACACACACATATATATATATATATATATATATATATATATATATATATATATATATATATATATATATATATATATATATATATATATATGTGTGTGTGTGTGTGTGTGTGTGTTTATGCAACAATCACTGGATATTGATGGTCATCGATATGGCCAATAGTAGATTAAAAATCTTAGACTCGTTGAGAAAACCGCAAACGGAGTATCAAGACATGATAGATATTATACAAGGGTAATTAATTTAGTTTCTCTATAACAACATATATATATATAATGGCGCCGATCTCTCAACAATTATTAAAGGTTAAATTATTTTTTTATTTTATTGGGAGCAGGGTTTGGAAAATGTTCATTGAGGAACAAAAAATGAAACATTGCAAAGCGCCACTGGGTGTAATCGCACACAAAGTAAGTAATATAACTACACATTTATATTCAATTAACACCATATGATGATTTCAATTCACCCTAATTGATTTTTTTGTCGTAAAAGTGGGTTCTAAGGCAGGAGCAGGGTAACAACTACTGCGGATACTATGTTTGCGAGTTCATCATGGCGTACTCAAAGAGAACTCCTGAAGAGCAACTCAAAGTACGTATATAAATACTTTTTTCTTTATATTATTTTGATCGTATATTTACAATTTCTTTATTGCTCTCATTCGTATAAGTAATTACATGAGCAATACACATACATATATATATATATATATTTTCCTTTAACTTTTATTGAAGACTGAATGGTTGAGGGAAAGAGTCATACGACTTGACCAACTTAAAGCAATTCGAGAGACTATAGTAGGATTTCTAAATGACCAGGTCATCAACCCCAACGGCGAGTTCTACAATGACCCGAACGAAACGTGGATGCCAAATCTAGAGGAGTGAATTGCTAAGGACATAAACAATTTATATATCAAACCTTTGTAATATATATATATATATATGTATGCACATATTATATGTACATAAAATAACGTGTGTGTATATGATCATCATATATATATGCATGTACGCGTATATTCGTTTGTTATTTATGTACAAAGTTCGAACGAAAACTTACGCGTGCAAAGTACACATATATATTACTATTAGCAGCGTATTCGAAAATGTATTTTAATATCAAAAGTAATCATTAAATGAAAAAAGAAACCAAAAATTGAAACCAGAAAAAGAAAAAAAAAAGGGACATTTAGTCCCGGTTGGTGTGGGACTCAATGTCCTGCCCCGTGGCGGTCCCTGGCCAGGCCTGGAGGCCCCCTTTACTCCCGGTTGGTGTTTCTAATCGGAACTAAAGGTCCTTTAGTCCCGGGCGTCAAGCCGGGACTAAAGGAGGGTACCTTTAGTCCCGGATTAGTGCTCCCGGTTGGGAAACCGGGACTAAAGGGGTTTCCCAACCGGGAGCAAAAAGCCTTGTTGCACCAGTGTGACCTCCTGCACGGGAAGCGCCTGCGAGCGCTCCTCCACAACGTCCCCGGCGGCGGCGGCGGCGCTGACAGCTTCCTCCTCCGACTGACGCTGGTGACCATGGTGGGGTTTTCCTCGTTCCATTGTAGCTTCTCGAGATTACAGATTGGGGTCGCCAGACGGCGGTAATAAGAGCACCCCGCGTCAAAAATTGGGAGGCTGAGACCGAGTCGTAAGGTGTCACAAGTGGATCGGCTAGTAGAAGTTTGACTTGTTCCGACTCATCTCATATTCCGATCCTGCATTTGTTTAAAACTAGCAAATATGCTCGTGTGTTACCACGGGAGAAAACAAACTATCAAGCATTCATGCAAAATGATGATGTGAACGGTACATATCTACTTATGTTTTATCCTTTTATAATTTATTTTATGATGACCGTGACATCCATAATATAAGTTAATGCTAATAATAAATAACAATGTCTTACTAAACCTGTATCAAATTGAAATACACCTTGGTATATTTTTCTTTTTATTGTAAAGCACATAATTATTTAGCTATAAGTATATCATAACTTTAATTTTTCATAATACCCGTGTGTTTCTATGACTCAATATTGATCTTTATAGCTTTTTTATGCATCGTATCAACCTCCGTAATTTTTTTTTGTCAATGTGTCATGGATTTGTCTGTCCACCCGTGATTGAGACCTCTCTTGAATTTTCAGATGGCAGTCCTCATTAGGAATTACATAAATACATTTGTATAGATTTCATTAGATAATAATCTGCGAAGTTTCCGATTCATGGAATATTTAGTTGTGCTGCAAAACTGGTTTGGCATTTTTATGATTTTTTCTATGATTTTGACGAATTTTGCAATATCTCTGTTTTAATAGAAAAAAAGGAAAACGAAAGAAAAGAAAAAAAAAGGCTTGCATAGGTTTGGTTCAGCCCACAACGAAATTGGCCCAACTGCAAGGATTCAACCAAGATCGAATGGTTTGATATTTTTATGATTTTTCTATAATTTTAGCGATTTTTGTAATATCTCTGTTTTTATAGAAAAAGAGAAAAATAAAAAAAAATAAAAAATGCTTGCATAGGCTTAGTCCAGC